TTCCACCTTAAAGACTTACTGTGGGAGTTAAAGGAGATGGTGCACATGGGGCAAAGTAGGCCCTCTTTCTGGGGGCTGGGGCCAACGGGAGGTGGAAGCAGAGGCACATCACTGCTTCACCAACAGCAGTGGCAGAATCTGGAGGTACAGAATTCAATTTGGCAGCAGCCTCTGGAGAATTTTCCTGCCTTCTGCCACAGGCCTGGGGCAACTCTGACTCTGACTCTGACGCTCTGGTTTCTTGTTCCTGCAATTTCCAGCCTCTGAAAGCTGGTGGTAGCTTTCCCTAATCCTTATGTTCTAACCATCTGGTGGTTTTGTAAGCACACTTTTCACATTAAATCCTTTCCTGCTTGATGTGGAGTAACTAGGGCTCTCATTCATTGGTGCAAAGAGAATGGTACAACCATTTTAGAAATCTGTTCAGCAGTTTCTTATAAACACCTTAGTAATCTTGCTCCTGGGAATTTATGCAAGATTAAGGAAAATATATGTCCTGTAAGTAAATGTTCATAACAGTATGATTCATAATCACTCAAGACTGGAAATAGAGCACATGTCTATCAGTCAGGGAATGAATACGCTGTGATACAGACTGTGATACAATAGACTATTACTCAGAAATTAAAGGGAAATGACTAATACATACAACATGGATGAATCTCAGACATGCTGATGAGTGAAAAATCCAGGCACAAAGGAGTATATTTTTATGTCTTAGTCATGGAAACATGGTGTTCTCTCTTCAAGAAAGAGATTAACAAGTAGTGGTGAGGAGTGTTTTATTGGTCACCTTTCCCATTGCTGGGACAAAATGTCTCACACCCATTATTTAAAGGAGGAGAAGTTTATTTTGTCTTTCAATTTCAAAGATTTCAGTCCATGGTCAGCTGGATCCAAGGCAGAAACATTATGGTAGAAGGGCATTGTGGTACAAACCTGCTTTGTTCTGCCAGGAAACAGAGCACAAGGGAAGAGCACCAGTAAGAGATACACCCCCAAAGGGTCACCACCCCCAGTGACCTACCCTACTCCAATTGGGCCCCACCTCCTAACAGCACATTCAGTTATGAACATCAGTGGATTAATCCACTAATGAATATAGTACCCCATGATTCAATCACCTTCCCAAGAGTCATTTAATCCAATCAACTTGACAATTAAGATTAACTGACCCCAGTGTGGTTTGCTAAGTCATTGAGACAGCACTGACACTGTGCTCTTCACAGGCAGCCCACTGAGCATGAACTTTAAGAAAATTAAGAGCTTTTGCCACCAACAGAGCTAAGAGACAATGTACAATGTGGGAAAAAAAATTTACCAGCTGTTCCTCAGACAAAGGTCTGCTATCTAGAATATATAAAGAACTAAAAAAAATCAGATCCCCCAAATATAAAGACCCAATTCAAAAACGGGCATCTGAAATGAACAGACATTTCTCAGACAAAGAAGTAAAAGCAGCAAATAAATATTTGAAAAAATGTTCAACATCACTGGTCATTTGAGAGATCCAGATGAAAACAACACTAAGATTCCACCTCACCCCAGAAAGAATGGCTTCTATCAAGAAATCAACCAATAACAAATTCTGGTGTGGTTGTGGGGAGAAAGGAACCCTTCTTCATTCTTGATGGGAGTGCAGACTGGTGCAACCACTGTGGGAATCAATATGAAGATGCTTCAAAAAACTAGGATTAGAAGTCCCATTTGACCCAGCTATTCCTCTCCTGGGTATCTTCCCAAAAGAATTAAAAGAACCATACCACAGTGATATATGCACACCCATGTTTATAGTGGCACAGTTTGTAATAGCTAAAACTTGGACAGCCCAATTGCCTATCAACTGGAGACTGGATAAAGAAGATGTGGGTTTTTTATAAATGGAGTACTACTCAGCCATAAAGGATGAGAAACTAGAGATGTTTCAGAAATCTTGGAAAGAAATACACAGAGACACAGAATTTGGGTAAAATAATAAAATTTCTACTTGCAAGTGGGCAGGACCACCAGAAACCGGTCTGGTTAACAACGGCACACATCTTTGTTCAGCATTTCCCTTTTTATATTCTTTTTAGCCATTTCTCATCCCTAGTGGTCTTTGATGCATAAATACAATTCCAGTTCCTATTTATAAGTCACAGACACAAGATAGGTACATATACATTGTGAATTCACCCAGCCATTGCAACTTTGTTAGGTTAATGAAGTTACTGGTTAAAGAGTCAGATTACCATCACCTTAAACAACGAGAGGTACAGGAAAAGCAAATCTTAAAGGAACACGTTAGTTATTTTGCTTCTACAACTACCTTAATATTCAATCTACTAAGTTATCTAAAACTTTTCCCTATCAGAGACATTTATAGCTAAGTGGATACACATTGAGGCCATACTCTTAAGTGAAATAAATAGGACACACATGTAAATACCAAGTAGTTTCTCTGTTGTGAAAAACTAAAAGTGTAAATAAGGATAAAAATGTATAATTGATATTGTGAAATAGGAAGAAAAGGTCTAAAGGAGTAGGGGAAGTGGGAGGGGTAGGGGAAAGGAAAGAAGGGAAAAGAAAAAATATGAGAAAAGGAAAAACATGGAAACAAAGTCTTTGTAAATAGGGAAGGGTAAAGGGGGTGAAGGGAGGGCAGGGAATGGGGAATGGGGAAAAAATAAGAACTAAGATACATCATGTAAAGGTACAAGATCCCAATGATGAATGTAACTGTATTGTATAACTAAAATGTACCAATAAACTTAATGGGAAAAAAAGAGCTTTTGTGCATCAAAAAACACTTATCTACACTGGTGCAACCACTGTGGAAATCAGTATGGAGATACCTCAAAGAACTAGGACTGGAAATCCCATTTGACCCCACTATTCCACCACTGGGGATCTTCCCCAAAGAATTAAAAGAATCATACCACAGTGATATATGTGCACCCATGTTCATAGCAGCACAGTTTGTGATAGCTAAAACTTGGAAACAGCCCAAATGCCCATCAACTGGAGACTGGATAAAGAAAATGTGGGTTTTTTATAAAATGGAGTACTACTCAGCCATAAAAAATGAGAAATTAGAGACATTTATAGCTAAGTGGATGCACATTGAGGCGATACTCTTAGGTGCAATAAATAGGACACACATGTATAAATACCGAATAGTTTCTCTAGTGTGAGAAACTGAAAGTGTAAATAAGGACTACAATGTATAATAGGTAATGTGAAATAGGAAGAAAAGAGGCAAAGGGGAAGGAAGTAGGAGGGCTAGGGGAAAGGATAGGAGGGAATGGGATTAATATGAGAAAATGGAAAAATAGGAACAAAATCCTTGTAAATAGGGAGGGATGGAGGGGTTGAAGGGAGGGTTGGGCAAGGGTGAAAAATAAGAACCAAGAGAGATTATGTGAAGGTGCAAATTTCCAATGACGAATGTCATTATATTGTATACCCTAACAATGATTAGAATGAATAATTGATAATGCAAAATAGGAAGAAAAGGTCCAAAGGGGTAGGGGTAGTGGGAGGGGCAGGGGAAAGGAAAGAAGGGAAAGGAAAAATGCTGAGAAATGGAAAAAATGGAAATAAAGTCTTTGTAAATAGGGAAGGGAGGGCTAAGAATTGGAAAAAAATAAGAACCAAGATGCATTATGTAAAGGTATAATTCCCTATGAGAAATGTAATTGTGCTGTATACCTAAAATGTACCAATAAAAGAATTTAACAACAAAAAAAAGATACTATCTATAGAGTAAAATTCCATAGGAAGGGAGAAAATCTTTGCAAATAATGTATCTGATAAAGGAATTATGTCCAGAATATAGAAAGAATATAAGAAACAATGAGAAAAAAACGAGTAGACATTTCTTCAAAGAAGATTTACAAATGGGTAATAAATACATGAAAAATGCTCAACATCACTAACCATTAGGGAAATCCAAATCAAAACCACAATGAGATACAACCTCATACCCATTAGGGTGACTACTATTTAAAAAAAAAACAACTGAAAAAACGTGTTGGCCAGGTGGAGAAATGGAAGCCTTTGTGTACTGTTTATGAGAATGAAAAATGGTACAGGCTCTGTGGAAAATAATATGGTGGTTCTTCAAAAATATTAAAAATAGAATTACCATATGACTCAGCAATTCCACTTCTATGTATATAAATCCCCAAAATAGAAATAGGATCTTGAAAAGAGAAATTTGTACAGGCATGTTCCTAGCAGCATTATCCATCATAGCCAAAATGCAGAAGCAACCCACATGTCCTTTGATGGATGAATGAACAAATTGTGATACATGCATACAATGGAATATTATTCAGTCTTTAAAAGAAGAGGAATTCTGATATATTCTGCAATACTGATGAATCTTGAAGAAATTATGCTAAATGAAATAAGCCAATCACAAAAGAACAAATACTGTATGATTCCACTTATATGAGATACATAGAGTAGTCAAATTCATGGAGATAAAAAATAGAATGGTGGTTTCCATGGGTTCAAGAGGGAGGGAAATGGGGAGTTGGTGGTTAATGAGTACTGTACAGAGTTTCAGTTTTGCAGGATGAGACAAGTCATGGAGATGGATAGGGTGATGCTTGCATGCTATGAGTGTTCTTAGTGCCACTGAACTGCACACTTAAAAATGGTTAAGATGATAAGCTTTATGTTAGTTATATACATTTTACCACAATACAAAATCTTTTGCAAAATGAATATGAATACGTTAAAATTTCATTTTAAACATTATCTGCTCTGAGTGTTAAGTATGTTAGGTACTTCAAGGGAAGGGGAATAGAATGTCTTAGCTAGCAGTTAGCAGAAACAAAGAATGATATTAATTATGGAGGGCTTCCTGGAAGAGGTGAGGAAGTTTCGCTGATGCTAGGTCAAAGAAGAAAAATCCAGTAGTGAATGATTTCACCTCAGTGTCCATCTGGCTCACTTAACCATTTCCAGGGAGACAAGGAGCTTGGAACACCCCATTGCTGTCACTTGGCAACCAGAAATTGGTGGCTGTGGCCACCTACAAAGTTATTTCCATCATCCTGGGCCCTTATCTTTGACATGGGATCTGTTCTTCCCAGGTAGTGGGGGCCCAGCCAGGGAGGCACCTACCACCTGCCTTCTTCTCAGACACTCACAGGCCTCACCAGGCAGAAGGGACTCTCACTGATGTCGGTAAGTCCACAGAAAGTGCTTGATAGCCTTGTGCAAAATACAAATGTCTTCCAGCTCCTGAACATCCTCTCATTTGTTTCCATTCATGGAAGACCCTGGGGTTCAGGATGCACAGAACACAGTCCTGGTTCTCAGTTTCTAGGTGTCAATGCCTCTGCCTTGTTGGCTGCTGGGACAAAGACTTTCTGAGGCCTGGCCACTCTTACATTGCCAATGCCACTGCAATGCCCTACCTCCCCCTGCTGTAACTTGTAAGCACCAAAGCTGCTTTCTCTAAATTCTGCAACTCTGCTGAGGATTTTTCATGACCCCAGAAGCAGCTCTCATCTGTAACAAATGAGCATGGGAGTGAAAATAAATCACCCTAGTTCCCCTGACCTCACCTGGACATGTCTGAGCACATCCTATACTGTCTCCCAGAATTTGGGCTGGGGATTTAGCTCAGTGGTTTCACTGCCTGCTGTGCAAGTGCAAGGACCCGAGTTCGATCCCCGGCACCAAAAAAAAAAACAACAACAGAATTCCCCAGCTGCTCATGCAGGTGCCTGGCCTACTCATACACTCTCCTTCTCTGCTCCATGTACTTCCAGCCATTTCCTGGAATCAGCTCCCAAATAAACCACTGGAGTCCTTCTCTCAGCATTGGCTAAGACAGAGCAATGCTGTATAACCAGGAGCCAAAGTTCTGTGAGATGCACATAATGACTAATCCCATGTAAAGTGGTATAGAAAGAATGAAGAGTAGCTGTCTTCTCAGGAGCAGGCAGCAAGGAGATGCATTGTCAGTAAAAAACTGAAAAATGGTAAAAAAAACTGATCAAGAGCTGGTCAGCTTTTCATTATCATAAACCAGAAATTCTAATCAATTTTAATTATAAAATTCTCCTTTCCATGGGGGCTAATAGCTCTCATTGTCACATGCCTGCCCCTTGGCACCCACTGACACCCAGTACACTGCAGATAGAGTAACTAATAGTGGCCAAGAGAGGAGAGAAGTCCTCCTAGGAGACTGGGCTGACAGAATGAGCTGCATTTCATATCTCCACCCATGCTTTTGCCTTTGCTCTTCCCTTCTACTGGAACACTTTTTGTTTCTTAACCTACTCTCAATCAACCATACAGTTCTGTGCAGTCAACCTTCTCTTCCTGCAAAAAGCTCTCCTTGGCCCACAGGCTGACTTAGATACTTCCTGCTTGCAGAGATCTCTAAATGCTTCTCTAGCATGGCAGTTTTCATTACCTTTGTCTGTGCTTTTTTAAAACTATTAGACATTCAGCTCCATAAGGATAAGAATTATGGTTTGTTCATTAGGCCTAACTTGCAGTAGCCATTTAGCAATGGGGCTGACACTGAGTGGACACTTATGCATAGTGCACAGCCTACAACACCATCCATGGCATCTTCACCTATGGATATTCTTTGAAGGAATGAATGAATCTGGGATTTTTCCATTACTGGGGATGGATATTAGAAGCAGAAGGGGCTAAGTAAGCAGTATCAGGGAAGACTGAATCTGGAGGGCTTCTTGGTGGAAACAAAATACCTTTACGCCACAGGAGGTGCTCTGTGGCCACAAGCTTTAGCATCACCTGGAGTGTAGTCAGTATCCCAAAAGTCCTTCTCTGACATTTTCCTCTAGTCTTTGCAGATGGGATTCAGGAGTCTGGACATCATAGGAAAATCTTAGGAGTATAGAGTTTTGAGAGGCAAAGGGCCAGATGACAAAGTGGATAGTGGTAAAGGTTGAAACAGCCCAACTGGGTTGGGCATAGGCCAAGAACTGACTCAATCATTCATGTAATTTTTCTCTCAGTCTCTTTTTTTAATTTTTATTTTATTTACTTATTTTTGGTACTGGGGATCCAACTTGGGTCCTTGCACTTGTGGGGCAGGCGACAGAACCACTGAGCTAAATCCCCGGCCCAATTTTTCTCTCATTCTTTCTTTCAAGTGTGTATTGAGCCCAGATGGCATTCAGGTACAGCCATACACAATACAGACATAGGCCCTACTCCCTTGTCACAGTCATTAAATAAATGAGCAAACAAATGATGTAGTGTGAATAATTTGTAGAAAAAAAAACATGGTACAAGGATGAAGAGTGGAAAATGTTATTTTGGATGGGTTAGTCAAGGAAGCCCTCTTCTGAAGCTGGTAAATGAGGTAAGGAACTATTTAAAATGAAGGAGCAAACCACAAAGATGTTTGGAAAAAGACCACTCTAGGCAAAGAGAGCAGTACAGTTATCCCTTGCTTTCCACAGGTTCCATATGTATGGATTCAAGCAATAGTGAACTGAAAACACTCAGAAAAAAAAAATAGATTGTTTTCTTGTCTCTAGTCCCTAAAGGATATGTACATCCCCAAAGGAGACATCCAGGGGTGGACAACTCACCTCTCACCATGCCGTGTCATGCTATTGCAGATAGGTAAGTTAATTAGGTATCTTGTAGGCAGTTAGACAGGGCCAGCCCAGGAGGAGCCAACATGCAGGACAATTAATACACATTCACTGAAGGCCAGAATTGTAAAAGGTGAGAAACTACCACACCCTATAGGATGAATAGTAGTGATTAATATTCTAAATAGGTATCAATCACCTAGGTGGGGGACAAAGATCTTCCCAAAAAGATCCCTGACCCACCCCTTTCCACCAAAAAATCCTTGCTCATTCCTTGTATGCCTGCTACATGACTTGTTTCCCCGTTGAATCCCCATTTAATCAATATTACCTAAGCAACTATACTTGTCATAATCTTATGGGTTATTCATAATTTTGTCCACCTTGTGATTTGTCATTGGATCAATATTACCTAAGAGACTGTACTTGTAATCTTACTAGTTGACTACAGTTTTGTCCCACCTTAAACCCACCACACCTCATGGCTTTGTCCCATAAAACACATTTGAGAAGCTGGGTGACCGGGCAACCCACTTTCAGGATCCCCCTTTTGTCTCTCTTAGGCAGAAGCTATCTTTCTCCCAATAAATTTTCCTACTCTTTAATCTCCATTGTTCCTAGAATTCATTCTTTGATTTTAGAGAACAGGAACTCAAGTTTCAGATACCTAGCAGGTTTGGGAGTTACATCTTTCCCCCCATATCAACACCATGCCACTGCTCTGCTGAAAACGTAGCTCCCAGCAATCCTAAACATGGTGCCAGTGATATAGGGGGAAGAGGTGTAACTCCCAAACCTGCTAGATATCTGAAACTCAAGGTCATGTTCTCTAAAATCAAAGAATGAATTCTGGGTACAATGAAAGCTAAGAGTAGGAAAAATTTATTGGGAGAAAGCAGGCTTCTGCCTAAGAGAGACAGAAGGGGGACCAGAAAGTGGGTTGCCTGGGACCCTATTTCCCAAGGGATATTTATGGAGCAAAGCCACGAGGTGAGGCTGGTTTAAAGTGGGGCAAAACTATAAGACCCAATGGAAAATTATAAGGTGGGCATGAGGTGGGGCAAAACCATGACCAACCAATAAGATTACAAATACAGTCACCCAGGTAGTATTGATTAAATGTGGGTCAAATGGGGAAGCAAGTCATGTAGCAAGTTTACAAGGATTTTCGGTAAGGGTAGGTTAGGGATATTTCCTGGAAAGGCTGGGTTAAGATGTTGGGCCCCCATCCAAGTGATTGATACCTATTTAGAATATCAATTATTGTTATTCATCCCCAGGGAAAGCACGAGGGTATAATAATCGCTCTTCTTTTATAATGTTGGCCTTCAGTGGATGTGTCTTGATTGTTCTCCATATTGGCTCTTTGATTGTCCTCCATGTTGGCTTCTCAAGGGCCAGCCCTGTCTAACTGTGTACAAGAATCTAATTAACTTATCTATCTGCAATACCAGTAAAGGCAAAGTTTAGTACAACAAAAGCCAGTTTATTTGGGAAAAGATCAAAAAGAAAGAAGATGGACAGCTACGATGAGGTAGTAGGGGGCCTCAGAGCTGAAAGCCCAGGAACTCTTATCCTTGGCTCCTTCTGTTGGGGACTAGTGTCTATCCCATCTCACAGGTGGACACTTGTTCACATCTGACCTTGTTTTCTTGACTGTCCTTGATCCTAACCTCAGCAAGTCTGCCTACGTTCTTTCTGGCCATTTGATTTCTTTTCTTTTTCTTTCTTTTTTTTTTATTTTTTGTGTTGTACTGGGGATCAAACTCATGACCTTGCACTTTCAAGACAGGTGCAGTGCCACTGAGCTAAATCCCCAGCCCTGGCCATTTGATTTCTTCCTGTCCCTTTGTGATGAATAAGTGGAGGGGGTAGGGGTTACCGGGAGGCAGTTTAACGATTTAGTAAAGGGGACGTGTACATGTGCATGTGTATGTGGTACAATACTATATTCATGTTAAAGTGAGAACATACGTGCATGTGTATATATGTAGGAGTGTGTGCGCATGTGGGCATGTCCTACTTATTAAATAGGAGTCCCTAAGGACTAAGGGGCTGCCTCTTATATCCCCTGCATTTTGTCAAGGGGGTGAGGGGAGCTGGCCCTCCACTTCCCTCATGTCTCTGGCTTCCCCAGTGTCTAACTGCTAAATTCTTTTTTTTTTTTTTTTGGTACCAGGGATTGAACTAAGGACCTTGGGCTTGCGAGGCAGGCAGTGGAACCACTGAGCTAAATCCCCGGCACCCCTAACTGCTAAATTCTTATGGTAAATTGTATTACCTGGTGCCTCTCTCAAGTCTAGCTTCTCTCTCCCTTCTTTGTCTTTGTTTTGGTACTCGGGATTGAACTTGGGACCTTGTGCTCAGGAGGCACTCGGTGGCACCACTGAGCTAAATCCCTGGCCCCCTTCTTTGTCTTTCTAATTGGCCTCCCTGCAGAGTCTACCTATGAAGGCAGAAACTGCTTTTAGTAAGTTTCCCTATTGATGTTAATAAAGCTCAGTGAGGCCTTTATCCTCTTTTGCCTACATACAGGGCCTCCTGTCCGTACAGATACAGGAGTACAAATATTTGCAAAGCATTTACACTGTATTAAGTAGCACAAGTAATCTAAAGATGATTTAAAGTATAGTACAGAGGAGGATGTACATAGGTTACATACAAATACTACAACATTTTATACAAAGAACTTGAACATCTGTAGACAAGGGAATCTGATGGGCTCCTAGAACCAGTTCTCTATAAAATACTGAGAGACAACTGTATATCCAAAGGCCTGAAGAACAGAACATGTGTAAGAGGGAGACTGGTAATAAACTACTGCAATAGTGCAAGCATGAGATGCTGGTGGATCTGACAAAGGGGAGGCAGTGGAGACAGTGTGAAACGGTCAAATTCAGAATATATTTTGCGGGTAGAGCCATCTAGCTCTACTGTTAGATCAGATGTGGGCAAGAGGTCATTGCAGTCAGAAGCACAGGAGATGAGAGGATGGTGTCAGGTAAAAGGGCTGAAGACCAAGACCAGACCAGGGCACAACAAGCCTTTATTAGGGGAATAGATCTGCCGGGCTATCTCTGAACAAAGGAGAGACAAAAAAGCAACATGGCTGGGGCAGGGAGAGTCTTTTATACAGACAGGGGTGGGGCTTGTAGGGGCTGAGGTGGGGTTGAGTGAGGTAGTGATCAGGGAGTGGAGGAGCTGGTGACATCACTAGATGGTAGGAGGTGAGCGAGTATTAGGTTACTCTGTAGGTGGGACTAGGGGCATGCTGGGAAGAAGGGTTTGTTCTTTGGTGGGAGCAACCATCTTGGCATGACGTCACACAGGGGAGGGGGCAAGGCACCATAGGAAGAGGGCAGCTACTATACATAATAGCTGCTGAGGTGGTGGGAGACCTATCAGATAGTTGAAAATGATGGCTACCAGGGGGAGGGACAGAAAGACCATAGTTAATGTTCCTGCATACCATGGAGAGAACTTTCCTGTTGAGTATGCTGATGATATAGGGCACCAAGTAATCCAAATAAGGGAAATATTATAACTCCCAATCTGCTAGATATCGAAATGCTGAGTTCCTGTTCTCTAAAATCAAAGAATGAATTCTAGCAACAACAGAGGTTAAGAGTAGGAAAAATTTATTGGAAGATAGTTTCTAAGAGACAGAAGAGGGACCAGAAAGTGGGTGCACGCCCACCTTGCTTCTCAAAGGAATTTTCTTGAGCAAACCCATGAGGTGAGGCAGGTACAAGGTGGGACAAAACTACAGTCAACTAATAAGATTACAAGTATCATCTCTTAGGTAATATTGATCCAATGGGAAATCATGAGATGGGACAAAACTATGATCAACCAATAAAATTACAACAAGTATAGTTACTTAGGTAATATTGATTAAATGGCAATCAAATGGGGAAAGATTTCCTGGAATGAATGAGCTAAGAGGTTTGGTCCATGTCCAAGGTCATTGATACCTATTTAGAATATCAATCACTGCTATTCATCCCTAAGGGAAGTATGTGGGTGTAGTAGTTCTTCCGGTTTAAATCCTGACCTTTTAGCAAATGCGTCTCAATTGTTTTCTGTGCTGGGGTCCCAGCGCTGCCTAACAGCCTTACAATATTTTTTAACTAACTTAGCTGTCTATAATACTGGCAACACGCAAGGTTTGGAGAGGAAGGACAAGATCTGACTTGTGTTCTAATGGGATCTCTTTGGTTGCAGGGTGCAGAACAGATATAGGCAGACAGGATGGAGCTCACAGGCTACTGCCTGGCATCCAAGTGACAGAGGACAGTTGCATGGGCTACGGTACTGCCTAGGATAGGAAAACTAAATTTATTTGAGTAAAAACAATAACAACTTCAAGAAACTTGTTAAATAAATAATGGGTATTAAAAATCATAAAGGAGAGGCAAATAAATGGCTGGAATCTGATCAGAAGTTTTGTCTTCTTGGGTAAGTGGCTTCAACTCTGCTTTCCTTTGATTTTCCCTTTAAGATTTGTTGAGAGGGTGGTGTAAAGCTTTGGGCACAAGATGTAACACACAATAAACACATAATGCTGTCTTAGGAGCTAGACAGCTAGGATCTAGTACCATCTCTGCCACTCACTGGCTAGCTGTATCATCTTGCTCAAATTATTCCTCCGTACATCTGTGAAATGATACTACCATTAATACCAACTGTACGAGTGGATGGGAAAATGAGCGGTCCTGCCGGATTTGGGCCAGATGCGTATGCCAGGCCTAGCGGAACCTTTCAGGATCGCGCTCGCGTTTCCAGCCCGATGGGCAAAGCAAAGTTGCGCCGGCGCTTGGAGGTACTTCCGGTGGCCAAGCCACACTCCTCGGGCTGCTCCATTTTGGTTCGGGGTGGAGACCCGGCACCTGCGGTAGAACCCTACAAAGTTAGACTTACTACGAGGGCGGAGCCAGCTCACTTCCCCACCACACTTTCTTCCGCCCACAGAAGCTGCGGGTGTTCATGGCGGGCTTGGAGGTACTTTTCGCTTCGGCGGCGCCGGTGATCACCTGCGCGCAGGACGCGCTCGTCTGCTTCCTGCACTGGGAGGTGGTGACACACGGCTACTGTGGCTTGGGTGCCGGCGATCAGGTACGTCACGGAGCCAGCCGGGGGAGGGAGTGGGGCCTGTCCTCTGCCCTGAATCAGATGGCCAGAGGCCTGATCTCCCCAGCCCCCACCCTCAAGTCCTTGCCCTGGGGGCCCTGATCTGGTTTGTAAAAACAAGGCGTAGAGTTAAGTTAGCTCCCAGCCCTGGCCCGAGGCCTTCGCAATACAGCTGGTAAAACGCGATTTGTAAACAAAACCCAAGGACCGAAAGCTGTGTTAGCACAATCCTGTAGTCTCTCAGGACAAGATTGTGTGAATGGGTCACGGAAACCCATCCCCTCCCCCTCAAAGCTCCTGACCACACACCGGAGTGGGTTTGGGGAGACTGTACTCAGTACTGCCCTATACCCAGCTCGAGCCTCCACCAGACATCTGGATCTAAGCGCGGGCATAGGAGTGAGGTTTGAGCTCACCCCGAGTCCAAAGAACCGTCTTCACCCCTCAGCATAGGCCCCGAGAACCCACACATCCTTCACCTGTTACTGAAGGACCCAGTGAAGTCCACTCACCACTGTCATCCGCAGCTCAGGCTCTAGGGAACTACCACCTCCCACACACCCACTTCAGGACCCTCGGTGTGAGAGTCTTCCCCATACCTGTCACCACCTGGCCAGTCTCTCCCACTTTACCATCCCCATTTTCTGCCTCTCAAGAACTGGGGCTTTGTTACATCTCTACAGATCCCCAGGGCTACTGGGTCCAGCCTACCTTGCTAATTCTTTGCTGTAGTATTCTCCTGTCTTCCCTGTCCTTTCCTGTGACCCTTAACCTCCACATCAGCTTCCTGAGAGAACTGGGTCTGGCCTCCTAATTGGTCCTTTGGTTCTTACCTGCTCTGTCAGAGACAGTACCCTCCCAGCCATGCTCCCCACATACACATGAGCACTCAGCACTGCAGACCTGCTCTTCAAGGTCACCATCCTTGAACTCTCAGGACCAAGACCAGCTCCAGAGGGCAGGCCACCCCACCTCTTGCCTCTTGCAATGAGATTTTTAAACTTCCTCTCATTTCTAACTGCTTCAATTCTCACATCACCATCTTATTAATTTTCCTCTCTTGACTCAGCCTTAAGAATCCCTCCTCAAACACACCTTATACATTCTCAGCACTTATCCCCAGGTATATCCCCTTCCCCTCACCACTATTTCTATTCCTTCTCCCCCATAAAACTAAGGACTAAGACCACTATACCCCTTTCACACATTACACGCATCAATAGGAATCAGAGCACAAGAACTATCATTGCTTTCTGGTTCTTCTTTTTTTTTTTTTTTTTCCAAAACTGGTGTCTTCCTGGGACCCCAGACTCACATTCAGCATCTCCATTACCATCTCCACACTCATCCTTCATCCCTTGAATGGGCTCTAGGACTGGGATTGGGGCACAGTGGGAAAATGGCTGGCCTTACACACATACCTATGGAAGCAAGAACCATTTCCTCCTCCCAGATTTCTCTCCCTGGATTTCCTTTTACAGTGTACTTCATACCTTGCTTTTCAGCATTTCAGACTTCGGGACCAAATAAAGAAACCCTCCTCTCTCTATTCCCAGGTTTCAGGCTCCCCTTTCATTGCGTAGTCCTTCCATCCCTACAGCAGAGGTCTTAAGTCTCCTTGCTTGGCCCATTTGTCCAGTTTTCTAATTTTTAATGACTTTTTCTTGCCCCAATCATTTTATTTCAATTTTTCCTGGAAAGTTCTACCAGAAAGCTGTTGTGTAGGATGGTGTAAGTGGTGATAGGTTGGAGAGAGGAGTAAAACTTGATTTTAACCTTGGAGCTTCTCCCCATTGGCCACATCTCATAGATGGAATAGGTCTGCCCTGCCCTCTACCCCCTCAACATCCTCCTCCCTCCCTTTACTCTCATCCTGTGGGAGCTAGTTACTGGGGACCCTTGTAGTGGGTTCTGATCTCTTGCTCAGTGTTATGATGCAAGAGTTAAAGAAAAACTCAAAAGACAGAATTAAATAGACAGAGAAATAGGGAGCCAGGATGGCCAGTGCTGAGCAACCAGCAAAGAACCTGGCCAGTCCAAGCTAGTGCTATTTATTGATGACATTATGGTCATCATGGTAAAGGGGCTACGTGAGGGGACGTGTAGTTATTATGGACATGTTACTGATGCAGGCAAGGCTTGTAAAGGAAAAGACAAAGCATTTTAGAATTAGAAACAGGACAGACAAAATATAGGGTTGTAGTTGGCAAATAACCTTGTCCTTGTAGTGAAGAAGGTTTTGTGGGAATGGTATTTTGGGTAAGAGTCACTTTGACCTTGGTACATAGGCTTTGGCCAGACTCCCTTCTCAAACAAGCAAGCCAGTTGTAGGGTTAACTTTATAGCCTGCACTGCTCACAGCCTGCTTTGGACATAACCAGCAATTTCTGCTCTGCCTCACTGTCAGAGCTCCTTCCTCTTTCCCAGGACTAGGAGCTTGTTACAGAGACATACATTAACACTGCAGGCTTGCTGCCACCACTCATTCCTTCACACATCCTGTGACCACCTCTAAGGCACTTTGGCAGGTTAGGACATCATTTTAGATAGGTCAGTGCCTTTCAGTTGGTGTCACTCTAGACCAGCGATGGCGAACCTTTTAGAGACTGAGTGCCCAAACTACAACCCAAAACCTACTTATTTATCACAGAGTGCCAACACTGTAATTAAACCTGAATATTCGGCTCCTGGGGCAATGCTTGGGGGACTTGGCTTGCAGACCCTCAAATTTTCAAGTGAAATGTACAGAAAGAATATACTGTATTCTCCTTTTAATGCTGATTTGTAAAAATAAAGAAAGAAGTCCCTGACACATTCCCAAAGGTGTTTCTGCTCATGGTGCCCCTTGCTCAGCTCCTCTAGATCAAAAAGTGATCCTGGCTCCAGATATCTTTGGGGAGATCAATGAGCCTGTGGAATAGGAGTTTTGGGAGGCATTGCCCACTGTCTCTCTGTCCACCTCAGTGCTAAATATTGCACACCTGAGAGGGAACAAATGTTTGCATTGCAAACTGGAGTGTAATTCATTTGCACTTCTCTCAACCTTTTCTCCTGAAGAGGCTTTGGGGCTTCGATTGCTCTCACTTCTGCTGAGTCTGCTGTGGTTCACAATAAAAGACCTTTGGAATGGCATCTTTCCTGTTAGTTTATTTAAGAGGGAGTTTAGTTTTTGCAGCATGGGGCCAGCAGATTCAGCTGAAACCAAGTGTTTTCCAAGCTTGGAAGATGTTTGCATTCCTCCAGCCACCTCCTGCTCCCTACCCTTGTAAGTGATAAGAGAGAAACAAGGGTCCCAAGACTTGACTGTATAATACATGAACATTTGAATAGAAAGCTAGGTTGTCTGCTTTCTCTTTTGATTTGTCTACACTGGCCCAGCAGAATTGTGTGTGTGAAAGTTGATTAGAAGAGCAGTATCTGTTGACTTGAATAAAAATTAACATTTGAATTTCCTTCTTGAAGACAGCCCCAGTGCTCTGCGAGCTATGTAGCTGTGTCAAGTGGTTTAGGTGGCAAGGAGACTTAAGCTGTGGCCATAAACAGGTTAGAGAAATTGGTTTTCTGCTGTGGGAATCTAAGGATTATGTAGAAAGAGAAAATGCCCAAAATGGAGTTTCTTTGGGTATATTTTAGCTCAGAGGCATTGAGATGAATTCATGCCCATTAAGGAATACTTCTAGCCTCAGGATTTTGCCAAAGAAAATTATCTTTACTTTCTTGGGGCTAGTCTGATGGACCTGTGTGGGAACCTGGGCAGCCAGGAGCTCTGAATTTCAAACCTAGCTCTGCATCTAACTTGTTATGATCTTGGGCAAGTCTCAGCTCCTCTAAGTCCTTACAGTTTTCATCTGAGAACGTTACACTAGAAGACTGCACTTTGGCTACTTTCCAGCAGTGGCTTCTGCAGTACTTGATATTTAATCTCAGGGCCCAGAAGGCAATCCATTGCCAGGTTTGGCCTGATAATACTAGGGCTGTCCTGTCAATCCTACCTTGGTTGTCTGGGGAACATCAGTCCCACCACAGTGAGAGCTATCAGCCTTACCTGACCTCAAAAATCCTGCCTTACTCTGGAAGCCAAGGGGATGGAGTGATGAACAGACCAAATTATCTATTTCAAGAGAGAATCCTGGTAGATTGAGTGCTGTACATGAAGGATATATTAGAAATTAAAGGCCCTTGACAGAACAAAGATAATGCATATCCTCACATCCCTGGCTTCCAAAGTAAATCCACAACACTCAGCATGTCATAGGAAATTTACCCTTTGGGGTTAGAGAACAGTTTCTCTTTCCCACTTAGAAGAATGGTTTGATAGTTTCACTTTTGTTTTTTGCCACTCTCATTTCTCTGCTTCGGGCCTGTGCCATTGTCATCCAGGTGGATTTAAACCATGCCATTTGCAACATCTTCAGTTTTCTTAGTGGATTCCTGATCACCAGAGGTGACCAAAGAGGACAGCTAGCAATTTTAAATTCCTGGCCTACCTTTGTCCTTGGTATATGGAAATTCCTGCGCTGCTAGACCTTTGTGTTTTGCTGGTGTTCTTTATGTCTGGTCCCACGCCTTCCCACTGTATTCTCCTGAATACAGACCTCCTTGCTCCACTTGGTCTGGTCCATGTTGAGTAATATAAATAAGTACCCATGAAAAAGTATGTAGTATTTTCTGTGTGCTTTTAATTTTTTTTTTTTTTGCATAAATAGTACTTGACTGTAAACCTCATTTTTTCTGAACTTTTATTTAAACCTTTTTTTTTTTAACTTTTGTCCATAATGCTACAATTCGATCTAGTTTGTTTATTCTGGCTGCTGTATAGCACTCCACTATAAGTATATTTGCATTTTGCCTGTACTCTGGCTGCCCTACTCAAGGCTGTGCTGAAGATGCCCTGTTATATCTCCTGTATATCTATCTGTACATAGGATTTCTTCTAAAGTAGGGAATCTGGATCATGGTGTTTTAGCTCCCCCAATTGTACTTAATATTGCCGGATTGCTCCTGAAAGTAGCTGGATAAGTTTGAATGCCCACCAGCAGTGCCTGGAGGTCTCCCCATACCCACACAAACATCTGGCAAAAAGTAGAAAAATGGCAATATCAGTCTGATGGATGTAACCCAATGTCTCATTATTTTAGCCGTCACTTTTCAGATTGCTAGTAAAGTTGAACAAGCTTTTTGGTATAATATTAGGTGCTCTTTTGCTCATTCCTATCTTTTTTTTTTTTTTTTTTTTTTTTTTTTTTTTTTTTTTTGTACTGGGGATCGAACTCAGGACCTCGTGCTTGCAAGGTAGGTGGCGGAACCACTGAGCTAAATCCCCGGCCCTGCTCATTCCTATCTTTTTGCCAGTGTGTTGGGTTCCCAATTTTTATTGTTCATTTTCCAGGCATTCGCTTTATGTGGCAGTTACTTTTTTATTGGTAGGTGTGGCAAATACTCTCCTAGCCTGTGCCTGTTAGCTTTGTCTGTAGCATCTGTCTTTGAACATATGAATAGTCTCAAAGGTGGCATCTTTTACTTTTATGGATCTTGTTTAAGAAATCTTACCCACCTAGAAATCACTGGATCTTTTTAGTAGCAAAACATTTATTGGTACATTTTACACATACATAATAATACTCATCATAGGAAATTTGCACCTGTATATGATACTTCCCACTTCTTTTTTCCCATTCCCTCTCTCCTGATCCCCCTTCCCCTTGTCTATGTACAAAAGCTTTGTTTCCATTTTTTGCTTCTGTTTTCACTTTTTTACTTGTCCCTTCCCCCCCAATTTGTTTTTAAATATAGAAAAAATTTGAAAAGTATGTCTTAAACTTTAGTGTCTTAAGATTATTAAAAAGGAAGAGAAAAGAAAACATCACAATTCACAGAGGATGCATTTTAGATCCATCAGGCTGGCAAGAATAGAAAGGTTGGATAATAGCAGTGTTGCTGACTACATAGAGCAACAGGAGCTCTCACACATTGCTAGTTGGTGTGTATGTCAGTAGTTATTTGCAAACAATTTCCCTTTTTCTTATAATTTACAAATCTCTTAAGTTTTTCCACCAGGCATACTATATAGAAATGCATCTACATGTGTACAAGAGTATTCATAAGAGCATTGTTTATAAAGCAAAACAAACTGGAAACACATCTAATCTTTTTTTTAACACTTCTAATCATCAGTAAGTGGACATGTAAATTGCAGCACAGTCATACTAGTGAATGCTTTATAGTTGTGAATGTGAGTCAGCTGCAGCTGAATGCATCAACCTTGATGCATCTCTACAAACACTATTGAATATAAAAGGCAACTAGCAGAACTGATGTCATTTATACAGAATTCAAAAACAATTGAAACTGAATTTTTATGATTGTTAGCACAATAAAACAACTTGAAAGAAAAGTTTTTAAGAATATAGAGTAGTGGTTACTGTTGAGAGGGGTTGAGGGAGGTTAGTTGGAGTATGCTCCCCAAGGCTTTAGTGATGACATTCACTGACTGGTGATGCTGTTTTCTCTTTTTTTTTTTGGTACTGGGGATCGAACTCGGGATGTTGCACTTGCGAGGCAGGCAGCGGAACTACTGAGCTAAATCCCCAGCCCACGGATGCTGTTTTCTAAGCTGGTGGTTGTTACATAAATCTACACTAGGCTAGATTTTGAGTATATATGAATATTGCACATAGTTTTTGTTAAACTATTGAAGTTCGTTGGTGGAGGGTACATTAGGGTCTGTGTTTTTAGCCAACATTTTGGTGATCCTATTGCAAATGGACCAATGTTCAAACTTTGAAAATCACTGCTGCAGAAGTTCATGCTATCCTTTGAGATGATTGGCCTTATTCTTGGCAGGGGAATGGAGAGATGATTATTAAGCCAAAGCTGCAGATTCTTGACAGGGTCCAGTTGTGTCATAAAGGTAGCCAGATAGGGGAGAACATTTCAGAAACCCAGATCTTAGACCTCTAACTTGCTTTATGACCTTGGTCAAGTTGCTTCTCTTTACCTTCATAACTTCATCTGTCAATTGAGGAGTGGGATTAGATTATTTGTAAGGTCCTTTGTAGCTCCATTTCTGAGGTCATGGTTTTTCTTCTCTCAACCCTGGTGTTTTCTCAGCCAGGTCCCAGTGATAAGAAGTCAGAACTGCTACCAGCTGGGTGGAGCGATAATAAAGACCTGTATGTCCTCCGTTATGAGTCCAAGGATGGGTCCAGAAAGCTCCTGATGAAAGCTGTCCCTGTGGAGAACAGCATGATCATCAATGTGCTGGTGAGTTTCTGAGACGAAGGGGTCTGCTAAAGGTAGCTACTCTGAAACGCTTTTAACACTGTGGATCCAGATCTGTATCCAGCGACTCTACTTCTGGAACTTTATCCTGAGTTGAGAACCTCAAATATAGAAAAGCTTTGTGCGTGAAGATGTTCAATGCCTATATGATGAAGGAGGGACTTCCATCCACAGGAGAATAGCTAAATAATTAAGGTAAATCCATTCAGTGACAACACAGGAGAGAAAAGCTTATTGTAGTCCCAGATAGTTATTTTTAGTTTCTAAAACAAGCTGAGATTTTGCTGCCTTGGAGCTTCATTTTTCTTATGCTGGAACTCTCCTCCCCAATCTCCCATCACACACATGCACACACACAACATTCTTTCAAGCCTATCTGACATCCTTTCTTTTTTCACTTGCCAAAAGTTTAGGTCTAACTATCTACTCCCACCAGAAAAATCGAAACTATACCTCTCCATCATTTTATTTTCCTTCCTAGTACTTATCACATATTGTGACGGAAAAATACAGTGAATGGTTAAGTTTTTAAAAAAATTATTACAGCAAAAACACATAGCCATTAATCTACCTCAAAATACTCCCCCTCACTTCAAACACACTTATCCCATCATTTTTCCACTTTCTGAAGTAGTTTTGAAAGTCCTTTGTGAGTGTCTTTCGTTTCACTTGTCATGGCTAGCTCTGTGTCTTGAATCAATTCAAAATATTTGCCTTTCTGTTAGGGTAAACTGAGGCATGGCAGAGACCACCAGAGTCAAAAATGAAGCAATAGGCGAGGTTTTATTTTGGGTGCAGCTAGTCAAGAGCAACAAAGCTGTTGACCCTGGGGGCTTGGGCAAGGGGAGATTTTATAGGGGAGTTTGGGTAGGGGAGGGGTAGTGCCAAGAGGAGTGGGAAATTTTTGTACTGGAGTGGAGGAAGTCTGGTGGTCTCCAGGGCTATTTGGATCTGTAGGTGTTGCTGCATGGGGCAGGAACCTTGGGCTCCTGTCATCCTTTGTGTCTTGCAGGATGTATGACTGTGTTTCCTGGGAAGTTTTTTTCTGTTTTGCCTGGGTGGAGATATGACACTTTCATGATCAGTTTAACTTTAGGGAAGAGCCAGAAGTCATACAGTGCCATATCTGGTGAAGAAGGTGTAATGTTCTTACTAGTTTGCCTTTCTGTTGGATGGCATTCAGCGGCAACATTCACTACATTTTTTTATGAGACTTCATAAAAACAGTTACAGAAGAGGTCTTCCAGAACTGCTCCAGAAAGTGGAAAGAACATGGGATAAGTGTGTTTGAAGTGAAGAGAGTATTTTGAGGAGGTTAATTGTAATGTGTCTTTTACCATAATAAATGTTTTAAACTTAAAACATTCACTGTATATTGTGATCACACCTTGTATTTATTTGTGCTCTGCTTTAATATCTGTAATCTTCCACTGAACTAAAAGCACCTTGAGGACAATGGCTTTTGTTTTGGTTTTCTATGTGTTATAAGGTATCCTGCTGTAATTGTACAGCACTTAGCTTTTTTCACTCAGTATGGAGGTCTTTACATGGGAACACGTATAGGTTACACCTCATTTGTTTTGATTATTATATTCCATTATCTCTTCCTTTATGGATGAACATTTAGATCTTGTGTCAAATAGGATTCTTAGGTGCAAACAACAAAAGCCCTCCAGGTTGGCTTAAACAGAAGTGCTTATTAAAAGAACTAGGGGGCTGGGGATTTAGCTCAGTGGTTTTGCCGCCTGCTGCGCAAGTGCAAGGACCCAAGTTCAATACCCGGTACCAAAAAAAAGAACTAGGATAGCTCACTGAAACAGGTTCAACGCTGGCTTCCAGGAGCAGTGCCCCAAACCTTGGAAAATACTGCTGCTTCCCATACTCTCACCCTTAGGTACTGGCCAGTATTGCCAGCCTGGTGCCCCTTCTCATCAGCTACTAATGTTGTGGCCCTGCAGCCTTTGTTGCTACTCTCATTAACAAGATTTCTCTTCCTGCTGGGCTTGCTGCAGGTCACAGTTGTGCATCCATTTGGTACCTTGGTTGCATGCCTGTGCCAAGCCAGAGCCTGGGAAGTAGGTTTCCTAATATGGGAAAAGAAGTATTCCTAAATCAGAAAAGTGCCTAAGCATCAGAAAAGTATTTCATACATTGCAAAGAGTCCTAACATATTTCTCTTTGTGAGCATGAGTGTTTCATTAGGTTGTATACTGTTGTTCTCCCCACCCATATACTCAGCCCAGAAATATCCCCCATCTTTCATTCTGTTTTCATTTTTCTAGGAATATGGCTCACAGCAAGTGACAGACTTGACTCTGAACTTAGATGATTTTATCAGTGCAGAAGACCTGGGTGACTTCCACAGGTACTCCTAAATGATGTCTTTTCCCTGGGAAAAGGAAGAGAGAACCAAAAGGAAGAAATAAGGCATGAGGTTTTGATGCCCAGAGAATCAAGGACAGTTAACAGGAGAATTTTTCACTCCTGGGCATAGTCACTTTTGACTTTTCTTTTTTATTTATTTGAAGAGAAGACTCATGTAGAAGCTCCTCCCAAGAAATAAAATGATGCTCCAGTGGCTACAGAGAGGAGCTGGGGCCATGTGAGTTCGTTCCCTATCCCAGTTTTTTTTTTAAATAGACTTTTTTGGAATAATTTAAGATTTACAGCAAAACAACCAGAAGTACAGAATGCTCTCATGTATCAGCCTCCCCTATTGTCATCCAGCACTAAAGTGGTACCTCTGTTACTATTGGAGAACCTACATTGACATTATCACCCAAAGACTGTAGTATACATTAAGGTTGATGCTATTGTTGTGCCTTCTGTGGGTTTGGACAAATGTGTAATGACATGTGTCCACCATTATAGTACCATGTGGATTTATTTCAACTCTAAAAATCCTCTGAGCTTCATTCCCATTCCCCTCTTTGTGGTCTTTTTTTTATTGATCTTTTTACTGTCTTCATAGTTTTGCCTTTTCAGAGTGTCCAGTAGTTGGAAATGATTCCATATAGACTATCTTCCAGAGTAGCTGTATCTTGTATTCCCACCAATAGTGAATGAGAGTTACAGTGGACCCTCAAGTTACGACTGGGCTGACATACAAACAACTTGGGTTACAACCGTAATTTTAGTTTTAACTTACAACCAAAGTCTTGAGTTATAACCCAAATGCCAGGCACTTATGCTTCCAGATAATCTCAGATACACATTTAACCCTTAAAGAGTTCTGGAATGAACATTACAACATCCTTTCCTGTGTGGGGTTAATTGAGAAATCCTGGGCCAATGTCTCCTCTGAGGACACTGAGATCTGCCTGGAAGAAAGTGTGGCCTACAGGAGAGAGTTTGAAGGCAGTTGACCAACTTGAGTTACAACCATTCCTTAAAAATGAATTGAGTTCAACTGTCAAAGGTCCACTGTACTGTTGTTCTGTTGTCTGTGCTTTGGAATTAGGCCATTCTAATAGTGGTATTTCATTGTTTTAATTTGCAGTTCCCTAGAGATGTCATGTGGAGCATCTTATGCTTATTTGCCATTTTATATTTCTTCTTCGGTGAAGTGTCTATTTAGATCTTTTTGCTCAAGTTAAAATAGGTGATGCATTTCCTTAATGAGTTTTAACAGTTTATTGTACATTTTGGATAACTATCATTTGATAGTTGTTTTTTAAATACTTTCTCCCAGTGTGGCTTGTCTTCTCATTCTGTTGGCATCCTAAGCTTTTTATTTTGAACTTTGCAAACCATCCCCCCTGAAGAGATGACTTGAAAAAAAAATACAGTAAACACCCAATTAATTGCCTATCACCTAGATTCACCAATTTTTAATATTTTGCCACTTTTACTTAATTTTTCTATATTCTTTTTGTTCTTAAACTATCTGACAAATAATTTCCAGGCTTTATAAACTTTCATCTCTAAATACTACAGCATGGGTATCACAAGGGTATCCTCCTGCCTGACCTTAATATAGTTATCACACTTAGGAAATGTAGTATTGATACAATAATATCTAATGTACAGCTCATGTTCTAATTTCTGTAGTCTTCCCAATGATGTCCTCTTTTCGTTATCCATCCAAAAATCACACATTGAATTAATTTTGGATCTCTTTGATTCTCTTTAATCTGACACAATTTCCTAAACTTTAATTTTATTGTTTTTCAAGACATTGGGAATTGTGTGTGTGTATCTCATTCATGGTAGGTAAGCACTCTACCACTGAGACACTTACTCCACCTCCAACATTGGTATCTCTATAAAGACTCAAGGTCAGTTGTGCAGAATGTTCAGATTGTTTCCCTGTGATTGGGTTCATCAGATTTGTTTCCTCCTTTGAGTCAGGTTGAACATTTCTGACAAGAACACTACAAAGAAGAGCCATTGTCCTCCTCACTGCTTCATAGCCAGGACATGATGCCTGTCTTTTTTTTATTTTGGTACCAGGGATCGAACTTGGGCCCTTGCACTTACAAGGCAGGCGACAGAACCACTGAGCTAAATCCCCGGCCCTTATGATGCCTGTCTTAACATTGATGCTCATAAATTTGATCCCTTGGTTAACACAGTTCTTCCAGATTTTTGTATAGTAAAGGCAGCTATTTTCTTTTTTCTTTTTTTTTTGGTACCAGGGATTGAACTTGAGACCTTGTATTTACGAGGCCAGCAGGCCTGCAGCGGAACCACTGAGCCAAATCCCTGGCCCAAGGCAGCTGTTTTCTATTGGAGGGCGATCAATCCTCCAACTGCCTATAAAGGGGGATGGTGAGGGCTAAAGAAAAAAAAAAGACAATAGAGACTTGCATAATTTCAAAGTATATGGGGGGCTGGGAGGTCAGTGCCTCAGAGCAGGCAAAGACAAGACACTGCCACTATTTATTGGGTTTATACAGTAATTGAAGGGAGTATCCGGTGACTCAGGGCTGTGGTAATCCTGAATTATGAGGATCTTATGCTGAGGAGGGTCTTAGGTCAATGAAGAGCTTATGTGGATAAGGATGGTGAGATGAGGAAAGCTTTCTTACAACAGTGGGTGGTACCTGTTAAGCTGGTAAGGAATTTTTCCTTCCCTAGGTGAAACCTTTCTCTTTATTACTACCTGGTTCTCAAAGAACCAGGATGTCTTCAGCTGATGTAATCTTGCCCTTGAGCATCACAGTGTTATAGGACAGACCATTGAGGCCTCAGCTGTGACCAGAGGCAAAAAACAGTTAGGTTTCTGCATGCCGTAGTCCACTTGCAAGCAAGAAGACTAGGCTTCAGACCGCCCTAATCATAATTTAATTATGAAATGATTTTTCCCTAAAATTATGTAGAATGGCTCCCGACAGTTTTCCTTTGTGTTTAAAAAATAATCTGTGGAGTTATGCTAGGAGACTGAATGTTCTGTTTCCTAATAGTTTTTTGCCCAGTGATTTTAGTATCTATTGATGATTTTTGGCTGAATCAGTTTTTGTAAGACAGTAATTTTCTATGTCTGTCGTTCTTTCTTCACTTTTTCAGTTAGAATTTTTTAATATAAAAGAATTTGCTATTCCTGTCCTTATTTTTAATGTGTTATACATACTTTACATGTATAGACTTGTGGGTTTGGATTCTTTTTTTATTTGGAATTATAGTCTATTTACATCATTCATTGAATGTTCAAGTTGTCCTAGAGTTGACCAGTAGGAGGCCATATGAGCTGGTTCTTTTGTCCTTTTGATGGCATCTTGGAGCATTTCCTTATTTTCTGGCACTACAAGATGTTTTAGGCATTCTTTGTACTTTCCTTACCTCTGCCTTGAAATCAGCCATTTCTCTAAAGAGCTATGATTTCTAATTGTGGAGAACCATATTTAAAAACCAAAATCTGGACCCTAGACGTTCTCATTAATACTGAGATGTCGTGGCTTCTAGGCCTTTTTAGTGTACAGAGCTAGGAATCTTTTTATTAAGTTACAAGAAGTAAAAACTGATTCCTCTGTTTTTTAATCTAACACAATATTCTTCTTTTGTTCCAAACTTACATTCCCTTTCTCCTTAAGCAAGAACTCTGATCCCCAACAGCATCCATATATACTCATTGCTTGATCCTCAAATGTGCACAAATAGTTTGTGAGTCAGCGCCTACCAAAAACAAAGCTAAAGTTCCAAGTGTGATTTCTTTCCAGTTGTTTCTTTCTTGTCCTTTGTGTCTCACTGAGGATATATATGGTCACAAGAATTACGATGCTTAGATTAATCAGTGCAGTGAATTTTTCTGTTTGATATATGGTTAGTGTCATAAAGAATCCACTTGTCAAAAACAGGCTTTTGAAAGTTTGTTCCAGTAAACAGAGACTAAAATCTGAAACCAAAATCAGGAGATTCTAGCAGCTAGCTGGAAAAAGCCGAGTTTATCACATCCATGTGTGGATGGGCTGAGATTGGGAAGGAGAGCTAGTGGTAGCTAGCTGGGAGAGATTTCATCCATGAGAGGATGGGCTAACACTGGGGAGAGAGAGATTAGCAATTAACTGGGAAAGGAATGAGGCTTATATAGGTATTGAAGGGGCTAAGGAATCTGGGGTGAAATATTTATGACTTGGATGCCCAAGGACGGCCTGCTCAGGTATGTATGCAATTACTGGACTTCTCAGCACCAGGGGGGTTGTATACTTCCTTTAAGTCCATTTGCCCTGTTTACTGAGAAGCTGCTGTTGTTTACTAAAAGCAGTCTGTTTGCTTTGTCACATTTATTTGTGAAGGACTCACTTAAGTCTGATCAGGCCTGACAGGCCCCTATTTATGCTTTATCCCATTTTGGGGCCTTTTTCTCCCTCTTACTGACCTCAGGATTTCGGAGGGAGGGAAGCAGGGAATGTGGAAAAACCAGAATGCTTGTGCAGTGTTAATGAGAATGTGAGGTACAGCCACTGTGGAAAATAGAATGGCAGTTTCTCAAAAAACAATTAAAATCCAACAATTCCCTTGGGCATACACCCAAAAGAATTGAAAGCAGAATCTTGAAGAGATGTTTGTACACCTATATTCATAGCAATATTATTCATAATAGCCAAAAAGTGAAAGCAACCCAAGTCCCAAGTTTCCTTTAATTGGTGAATGGAAAAATAAAATGGTTGTGTGTGTTGGTATATGTGTGTGTGTGTGTGTGTGTGTGTGTTTGTGTGTGTATGTATCACAGAGTAGGATATTATCCAACCTTAAAAAGGAAGGAAATTTTCAGACATGATACAACATGGACTGTAGCTTTGAGAGCATTGTGCTAACTAAAATAAGCCAGTCACCAAAAAAAAATGTATGATTGTACATACTTATATGAGGTACCTAGAACTGTCAAATCCATGGAGATGAAGATAGAATGGTTGTTGCCCAGGG